CCCCGCTCCCCGCCCCGTCCCGGGGGCCTCCCCGCCCCGTCCCGGCGCTCGGCGATCCGATCCCCCCCCCTTTCCCACACATGCGATCGTCCCTGATCCCTTCGGCCCCGAAACCGGCCCCGAAATTGAGGTCTGGGGGAGATTAGCATCGCTGCGGTTGCCCCGACGGGAACGCGAAGGGTGAAATTCGCTTAAACTCTTGTTATTTACGTGTAATTTTGCCGCCCGTCTCACAACAGCCGGGGCTGGGATCGCACTTAATTAGCGTTGGGTAAGGAATTGCCCGAAATTAAACAAACAAACACCGGCGGCGCGTTCGCTGCCGCGGCGGGAGGAGCGGGCGCGGGGCGCGATTTCATCAATAAAAGTTGATTTTCGCCTTGCTGCTTCGGGGGGAGCCGGGGGGAAAACGCATCCTTTCGCAGGGAAAAAGCTCTCGGTGTCCGTAAGGATCCCCACGTCCCGGGGATCAGCCCCGGCAAATCCTTCTCGTCCGGGGCAAAGCACACGATCGGACCCACACGTGTAACGAGAAAAATACGGTCAATGCTGCGGGAGAATTCACTCTTTGTCAGTCGCTTGGAAGATGTAAATCCCCGGGTCTTAAACGGGGTTGTTACTCGGTTTTTTTGCTGGTAAAAATGCCTAAAAAATCCCCTTTCCAGGTACAGATGCGAAGCGCTCTCCGCAGGGTTGCAGGCGCTGGGTGTCTTGGTTTGACATCAGGATTTTGGGGAGAGAGGAGCGTTTGGGAAAAGTCTTTGCGTTTTATGTCTTCGATAAAATAGTTATAAACGCCCATGGAAATCAGGGAAGCTGAATCGGGGCGGCTTTCCCGCGCTACCTCCAATCCCCAATTTTCATCCCTCGTGTGATCTAAGCAGATATGTAATAACTGGAGCATTTTCACCATTGTATTTCGTTTTAAAACAAGTGGACAGACAGGAATTATGATTTTGGGTTTCCTCCTTTAATTGTAAGGGGAGGTGTTTGGGTTTTTGTTTTTTCGGTGTTTTGTTTTGGGGGGGGGGCTGTTATTTTTTTTCCTGTTGTTGTTTTTTTTCTGTCCCTGTTGCTGCTGCTGATTTTATTTGCATCTTTTGGGGGACGAGCTTACCGTGTGTGTTTGGATAGCCAGAACAGCAGGAGAAAATTTTACATTATGTTTCGCAAGGTGCCTTTTCCCTTCCTTGCCTTTATTATTTATAACAGCTTCGCATCTCTTTGGAGAAGGGTCGCACTGGAAAATGCTGATTTGAAGTCTTACCGGACAACAGGCATCTAAAACAAGCAGTTTATGGGGAAATCACAGCTAGAAAGGGCATCTAAAGGACAAGAAGCAGGTAGATTTTTTAAAAGCAACTTCCCACTGAGTTTGACGAGCTAAGCCGAAAACGTTATTCTCTAAAATTACAACAAATCTGCGTTTATCCGTTTGCTCAAAAATCCCGCAGTCGTTGTGGGAGGGAGAGGAGCAGGCGGTGGTATCGCCGTATCGCTCGAAATTGCGATTTTTGCTTCAGGGATTTGATGTATTTGGGCAAAGGCAGAGCCATCTAGAGGAACAGCCCGGCTATGGCGAGGTGGGGAAGGCAGTTCCCCTCCGAGGCATGGTGTGCTGCCTTCGAGTTTTCTTTAGCTGATTTCTCTGCTTCCAACAAAGGAAACGGGTGAGAAAATAATGCTGAATTAGCTCTAATAAAAATGCGTGTCCTCAGAAAACTCCAGCTTGCTTTACCAAATAGAAAGGAACGTGAAACAAAAATAGCTTTAGAGAGATTATTATATAGCCGGGATGGCACGGATATGCAAACCAACACTTAATTTAAAGAGTGGAGAGAGTAAAGCTTTGATGGTGTGACGGCTGTAAAAATGTTTAATTTTCTTAATGCGTTCATCCTGCAAGTAGCGTGCAGCGTTGCCTCGAAACATCGTCAGCTCTCAGTACAAACCTGTTGCTGTTCCCTTCTGCCGAGGCACGAGGAGAGCAGCGTGAAGGGATCCAGCGCTCTGCCTCTCTGCTTTCTAAACGCTGCTTTTTTCCAGAGAGGTCTGGGAGACGTTTGCCTTTCAGAAACGCACCGAGAAGCTGGCAAGCGAGGTGCCGAAACGCAAAACAGAAATCAGCGCCAAGGTAAGAGTCTGGGGCTACCGTCCATCACTGCGAGCAGATTCGGGGTTGGGCTTGAGCAACGCTGTGATAACTCTGTTATTACCGAATCGCTGGGACGTTCGTTAGCATTGGCGTTAGGAGTGTGGCCGTGAGGTCTGCCGGGCAGGGGAGCCTGCGGCACCTGGGAGTCGGGGCTGAACCCTGTCCCCAGCCAGCTGCGATTACGTGCAAACCTCTCCAGCCGGCTGCCTTGGAAAGTGTTTCAAGACTTCCCGAGGAAAAGTGCTGCAGGAGAGCAAGGTCCTCCCCATCCTTGCCTTGTGCCAGCCGCACCATTCGCTTTGGTGTTCTGCTTGTCCTTGTCATGCACGCGACAAGCGCTTTTCCCCCTGCTAGGAAGACACCGTCTTTGCCTCTAAGGCCCTGCTCCTCTGCACGTGTAGGTACAGGCTTAACTTTCCTGTTCTGAATCTCAGGTGTGTACAGCTGAACACGGAAACCTGAAAATGCTTCAGACCTGAGCACCCAGCCTCGCAGCGGGAACCGCTACCTGCACCCACCCCGGCCTCTCTCTGTTTCCCGAGGATGCTGAGGTCTCGGCACAGGGAATGTCTTGGAGGATCAGGACCTAATAGCCCATACTGGCTGCTATTGACTTTACCAGTAGGAGAGAGACCAAGATCCCTTCAATGGCTCCGAATTGCTGCCGTGAAGCAGGAACCACAGGTTTGGTTTGGCTGCATTTGCAATATGAGTCTCACTTTTTCCCCAGGGCTGGCAAGAGGCAAGGCAGTAACTCTATGGCCCACACACAATCTGCACATGAAGAATTCTTTTATATCTTTCTCCAGAGTAATCAATGAAATGGGGAATGAATCCTCAGGGACAAGATGGGAGAGTTATCTTTTCTCTTGCAGTGGTTCAGTACTGTGGCTCCACTCTCAAGAATATCAAGGAATTGACTAAGAACAGCTCAAATTAAATTTAAGCTCCAGTACCACTCCCTTATTTACAGCTAAGCCTATTTCTTCCTAGACCGAGTACTTTACACCTATTAATATGCTCTAAGAAAGTCTCTTTTTTCACTCAACCGCTGATTTGTCCTGCAAATGGGTAACAGAGGATATCTGATGGTGTGCAATAGATGTTTCACAGCCATGAATCTGCGGAGGGTGTTCTGTGTATGTGTATACAGGTTGAAGTAATTTTTATCCCTTACCTAAGGAGAATAATGTATATTCCTCCCTCCCTGTATCTAGTCATCTATTGGACTGAAGTTCTGGCGATCAAATTTTGCCAACTTACCCTATGATAAGATCAGAGGTTTTCAAATCTTTCTTGATTTTTCAGACCCTACAACATTTCCTGGGGAGGCGTCCTCATTCCACAATTTTCAGGCTACTGACACGAGGCTTGGTTTGGTTTTGTTTCCAGTTCTCAGTCTCCGTAAAAACACGGCAGGCTGCAGACTGAGACTTAGCGTTTTGGAATAGCAAGTATTTTCCCAGTACGTTTATATGGTGCTGAGCGTGATGGAGCCCCTGGACTCTGCCACAAGGCAAGGAATAAATCATAGTTTATTGCAAGCTGTAGTTACTCCAGCACTTCAGGTTGTCGTGAGCGAACACCATCGCTGAAAGAAGCAGTTCTGCTCTGTGTCCACTCCTGGCTGCTTTTTCTGGCTGCTGTGCTCGCATAAGTGTTCCTGTGGTTGTGGACTGGGGCACTGATCCAGCTCTAAAGGAACACCCTCTCCCCAATCCTTTTTTTTTTTTTTTTTCCTTTTTTTACCCCCTCGGGTTAGTTTTAGCCTGGGCCTGCCTAGCCTCTTCCTGAATGAGAGCTTGTTAGCGACTGATTAGCCAAAGTTTTGATAAAAGCTTCATTGTTTGTAGCCTCTGTAACCGACCCGGAGCTGTGCTCCTAATAAAAGTGGGATTAAATAGACACCTTGGGAGTGAGACAGTTGCAAGTGGGAACTTCAGAGTTTTGGGGGACAAAAGGATACGGCCAGGCTTCAGTAGCTCTGCGTGTCAGAAGTGATTTTACCAAAACCGGGAAAGAAGCCTGACTTTTGGGTTTTGCAGGGAAGAGGAGCCTGGTGGGAGACAGAAGGAAGTCAACTGTTTGCGGGTGGATTAAGCACACGCTCCGGGTGTTTGGAAGCACCTTTGCAGAAGCTCTCGGCGCCCTGCGTTCCTCCTGCCTCTCCTCGGGCTTAAGATTCATAAAAAGCATTTAAAAATCTCCACTCTGATCCCACGAATTTAATCCTTCCTCATTTTATTTTTGCAACAATAAAAAAAATCCACCTGACAACGAGGTGTGACTAACTTGGCACTATCAGATAGTGTCTTTTCTGGGAGGAGGGTTAAGCAGGGAGCCTCATCCCTCCTCCTTAAAGCTAGAAGCTGACCTGGGCTGAAATAAAGCAACATCTTTGTGGTTTTTACGTGTTTTTGATGTGTAATGGGACATCTGAAATGGAGTTTAGTGCTCTGGGCTGGTTGCCCTATAGTGATCGCTCTCATAGAGTAAGGTAAAGGCCAATATCTTTTGGTTTTAATTCATCTGAGTAGGCCACCTCTGCCCTAGAATGAGTAATGGAAGTAGAAAAACATAAAGATAAATTTATGGTCAGCTAAGGTAAAAATAATCGAAACTATTAGTAGATAACGGCAGTAGCTGCCATCACTGCCACCACAAGGAAACGGAGGAGGATTAAATTAATACTTCTTTTCCATGTTTGTCTGGGGGAGAAAATCAGATAGTGTATTCGTATCAGGTGCTGGTGAAAGAGCATTTTGGGCTCCATTAGTGACTAGGGATTATGTTAAATAGCAACCACATAAATGAAATATTTTATGATCAGCCAGTCCCGGTAATTCACAGCCAAGAATTTCAGAACTCCTGGAACCAGGAACATATTTTGTGGGCCGTTAATGCTTATTTTTCATTTTGGGACACTGGAAGGATTTTGGAGGACTAAAAAAGATGATATTGGCTCATTATTTAAAAGGATTGGACAAATGATTTGGGTAATGTCAGCCTGTCACTGTTAAAGGCAAGAAATAGTGGGCACATCACTTGATTAATGAATTCTTAAAGGAAGGCAATGAAATGGATGCAAATGAGTGTGCGCATATAGAACATGGGCCTTGTCCAATCAATTTGCTGTTGTTCACCGGTAAGAGTGAGCAACTCTTGATGTAACTGATTTCTGAAAGCGTTTGGTTAATACCATGTTGGAGGTGGATTTTTAAAAAGGTATAAAATCAACATGGTGCAAATTAAGTGGATCTAACTGATTACACAGTGATCTCTGAATATCACTGTGAAAAATGAATCCTTGAGTCTTTTTGCAGGGGAATCCTGTGCAAACTGTTTCATTATTCTGTTTCTGTCATGGATTTGGGGGGAAAATAAAGAATCATTGTGTAGGAGTCTAAAACTGGGGCTACGGAGTGTTAAATATTGAAGAGGACAGTTCACTGACACAGAGCTACCTCGATCTCTGCGTGGCAACAGGGAATAAATGGGCAGAGTGTATTTCGATACGGAGAAGCAGAAGGACACATTTAGGAACAAAATCTGAGATTGACAAGTGATGGAGTCTGTCCCAGAAATTAATTTTTTTTTTTTTTTAAATTTTTGGGGTTCTTGTGAATAATCATCTGTTCCTTGTTGTGATCTTGGGGTGAATGAGGCATAGGAATAAAGAACGATCTTAAGGGTCTTTTCCAACCTAAATGATTGTATGAATTATAATAATTTCATATTGGTAGTGCATCAAATTATGATAGCACCTATAAATTCATGAGTAGCAGGGTAAAGTAACAGGGATGGCGTTGTTTACTATCTAGTCAAATACAAGAGCTAGGGGACATCAACTGAAACTGGTAGGAACCATGTTCCTGAGAAGACAGCACTGCACACGTGTCTATAAATACCTAGGCAAGAGCAGAAGCAAGTGGATAAAGGACAAAACAGGATCCAGTGGCCAGAACTGAAGCAGGACAGATAGAAGGGGCTCAATTCAGCTGCTCACGCAGGGACAGCTGGGACTATCTGAGGTGCTTTGCAGGCTCCAGTGGTCTCCCGCTGGCACTGTGTCAAATATGTCAGGCATTGCAGACGTCTCAGATACCGTAGGGAGCCTCAGACAGCTCTAAACACCTTTGCGTGCAACTGAATTAAGTACAAAATATCAAGTTTTACTATCATGCGTAATTGTTAGAACAACTTACCAGGACTTACTGTGGATTCTCCACCAATTTTAAAATCAAGGTGGGACATTTTTTTCTAATACCTACTTGAAAGAAGACAGCTACTAAGAGAAACTTTCGCCTGGATCCTTCTGCATGCATGTGGGCTGTCCACAGTCATCTCCCATGTTCCCATTTTCCCACCGTCAGTCCTGCCTTGAACACTGCACTATATTCCAGCTCCAGACGCAGAGCTTTCCTCAGTTGGTTTGCTGTCTTTGCACTGTGCTTTATTTTGCCCAATACAGTGATATTTCTGTCCAGGTTTTAGTGCCCAGCTAGGCAGGTGATTTGGGTAGTTTAGATACTGCTGTGATGCCTAAATAAGAATCGCCCTCTCTTGGAAGTATGACTCTTATGAGAAGGGCTAAGCACCATGTTCTCATCTAAGCCAAAAACCCACTCATATGATGCAGAGCAACATGTGCTAAGACCCACAGGGCTGTGTCTGCCATGAAGGCTACTGGCAAGAAACGTTTTGAGCCCTATTTGGTCTTCTTGGCTATGTACGTGCTATCTGATATCTGTAACTAGGTCAGTGTCTGATGTGGGGAAGTGGTCCAGTGAAAGCATTGCTGTTAATGGAAGCTTTGACCAGCAGAAGCAGGAAACTGAGATCAGTTTGGGTAAAATGTGACCCCTAATGAGCAAATTAGAGATGTACCAGCATACTACTGTGCATCTTTTGAAAATCAGGTGGACAGACAAGGTAGCGATGCCGTGTGGGAAAACCTTGTATTGAGGCAAAACGCAAGA